GTGCTGAAACGGTCAAATCGGAAGCTTTTACATCGTCTCAGAGCAGCGTTTTTGTGGTTCCAAACGTGGACCTTTCAGGCCATTCAAGTGAGGGGAAGCACTTTATTCCCTGATTAACAAAATCAACTACTATGGTAACAGGTGAAAACATCCAAATCAGTGTATTTATTGACTTTAGGGTTGATATTTATTGGTCAGCTCCGACGTGCACCCTCAAATTCAGGTTTACGCCGGCTGATCTCTGCAGCTCTTTGTAGTTTTTAGAGCAACATTAGCAGATCAATGCAAACGAGTCGAACACCGTCCAGGCAAATGGAAGACACGGAATCATCTTAGAAGTTACTCCCCAGCTTGTCATAGAAGTGTGAACACTGACTCATGCCTTCAGGCATGCTCGCGGCAAACTAGATCCGCATCCTGTGAAAGAATTAGCGCACCGTTCAGTTGTGATGAAAGAATTTTCCGTCGAATCCATCTTTCAAACCCTTTTAAACCGAATGGCTGTTTCCCAAAAACAACTAGCTACCCATACATTACTGTATTAAAGGGAGGTGTGTTTTCTTAATCATTTGCTCAGTGGCAATAGAGGTCATTTTTAAATGAAAGACTAATTTGTTCTTCTTCCCTCAGCAGATATATTCACTTCTTCTTGATAAAGTACCACATTCCTGGCGGGATATTTTCTGGTTCGTGATCGGGATTCTTACTTTTATTTGTGCTGTTTGCTAAACACCAGATTCAGAAATGAACAATCCCGATCAATTCCATGAAGAAAAATAATTATTTGTGCGGCTTGCAACACTTTCACTCTGTCATGCATGTGTTTAATAAAGTAAAACTGAATCGAAATGTCGGCTTGCGTCACGGTGGCACCGTTCAGACGCACGCACGCTCACACATTCACACTTACACCCTTTTGCACAGCTGTCTCGTGTTTTTTTTTCGCGGATTCACGCGGCGCTAACAATCAGTTCACCACGTTGTTTCCAGTCAACGATGCGTCGGACCGAACGCTAATTGTTTTTGTTAACGTCAGCCCGCATTGTTCTGTGGCAATGCTCAGAAATGCAACGGCTGGCAATACGTTTTGTTGCCATTTTTTTTTTTTTTTTGCAATATCTGCCTGGATTTGATAGGTGTGAAACCACTTTTTGTAACCAAAAAACAAACACAAACCCACTTTTGTTCCTCTCTGAATAGCCCACCTGTCAGTGTTGGTTATTGTCCTCTTTGCCGGTGTTCTGGGGTGAGTTCTGCTCTCTCATATGAACTCCCCCATCGCCTCGGCTCATAACGCAAAATCAACACGGCCCGTCTCTGCCAGCAGCACTGCAGCCAAGAACATTTGCCCCGTTGTCTGTGATAAATTTATGTAGTACGTGCAAATGCATTTAACTTAACCCAGCGTTGTCCCTCTTCTTCTTTTTTTTGACCTGAACACAAAATGTAAGCATCTATAAAACAAAATACGTTGATTGGTGAGAGGATCAACGCGTCCCACAGACAGTTCATTTGATTTAGGTTCAAAACTCGTCTGGATGCCGGCTGATGTGAAAGTGTCGGGAGGCACTTTATTCCTCGATTAACAAACGGATTTAGTTACTGTACCTGGTAACTATGGTAACAGGTGAAAACAAATCCAAATCAGTTGACTTTAGGCTTGATATTTATTGGTCAGCTCCCGCTTGCACCGACAAATTCAGGTTTACCCTGACTGATCTCTGCAGAGCAACATTAGCAGGTCTATAATAATATATAATTCAAATACCGTGCAGGCTAATGGCTGTAGATTCAGAACTGGTCTGGATGTCGTATGATTTAAAATTGAAAGCATTCTTAACAGTTGGAAGTATAAATATTTCTAGTTTTGCTCGGCAACCATGATGTTAAATTAGATTTCCCGAGTAGAGGCTTGTTTTGCTCTTTACCACAGATTTGTCACAATATACCGGAGCAACATTGATTCGGAGTCCCACGTGAGTCGACATGGACAGATGGGAAACGGGAGTGCAATCCTGAAAGTTATCGGTAGAAAAAATAACTCCATGGCTCTACCAAATGGTTTGAAGAATTTGACAATCAAAGTCTAAAATAAAACATTACTGATAAACTGCTTATTTTCTTTGCAATCCTGCAAACATTTCTGCACAGCTGCAGATGAAGATCAGGTTGTTGCAGCTTTTGTAAACCTTCTATAGGTTTCTCATAACGGCTCTCACGTGAAACAAATGCAATAACTACTGTAAACCACCAAATGTATCCCGAAGAATCGGTGTGTTTCGCTCTGCCGTTTGAGCGGCGAGGAGGAGCGGGGTCGAGGGCGCGGCCTCGGGGACCTGGTGTCAGGTGATGTGGAGACGGTGGCATCGGGCTCCCCGACGAATGCATCCGCTGTTTCTGTGAGTTGTGGCGACCTGAGATTCGCTGCGTTGGGCCGAGTCAAAGGTTGTCTCTCAACGGAGGACGGAAAGAATCGCTAGTTTGCCTCCCCACAATCGAGACGTTCCTCTCTGTTGGTCGTCTTCTTGACGGTTTTTTCCTGCCCATCTGGCCGGAGCTGAGAGGGCACCGGGGCCAAAAAACGTTTGTCGGGCCGTGGAAGTGTGTGTGTGCGTGTGTGTGTGTGTGTGTGTGTGTGTGTTCTTGGCAACCAGTAAACAAGTGTGAGCACATTTCCATAGAGCTGAAAAATATAATGCTGCATCAGACCCCAACGTCAGCTTTCTCATGACATTGAGAAGAGAGGAAGGGGAGAGGAGAGATGACAGGCGAGGAGGGGAGAGAGGGGGGGAGAAAAGGAGAGAGGGGGGGGGGGAGAGCAACACGCCACACGCACTTCCAATTTGTTTGCTATGCGATGACCTGCTGCAGACAATTATCTCCCCTCACTCTGCCCCAATTAGATTACTGCTGGAGGACTTTGGACCTGCTGCTGGGAGGGAAATTAACGCACGTACACAAGCTCACACTCTAATACAAACACACACACACACACACACTGTTGCAAATTCTAAGCTGGCGAGGCGGCGAGTGCGTATTTTTTTTTAAGCCAATACTGTTATACACCATCTGTTTTGAATGGGACCATTTGGGTAAACAAGAAACATGGTGAATAAAGGTAGGACGGTATGATGTGTTTAGCAACCGTTAAATGATTTACTCGTATCGATAAGCATTTTGTTTTTGCTCTGCCGAGAGACTACACCCCCCCCCCCCAAAAAAACAAATTGCACGCACGTATTCATTGTTTTATAAATGGAAACCATGTATCATCGTTTGGTCGTCGTCTTTTTTTTCCCTCTCCCACTCAGTAGACCGACAGTACACAGGATGGAAAAATAGCATCTAAAGCCGCCGTCACCGGGGTTGCATTCAAAATAAAGGTCCGCCGATCATCAAACGACGCAGTGCTGCTCTATTTTTGCACCGAGGTCTCCTGCACGAGCTGTCAAAGTGAGTCTTCTTGTTGGCTCCCAATGCCTTGCGGGCTCCGTTCCCCTGTTGGAAACACCTGGATGACGTTTTCTCTTTGCAATATACTTAAGACGACAGGACTCATGGTGCAACGTGCAAAACAGAGCAGCCGCTACTCACAGTGAGATTAGCAACACTCATTTTGTCCAGACCTCCTGCGTTAGTGCGCGTGTTCACTTTCGCTTTGCGATCCGGGGACGAATAAACTCCGGAGCCACGACTTGAATGTGCGTCGAATGTTCTGTTGGAGGATTTTTCAACTGTTTCCACCCTTTTCTTCTTTTCCAACAGATACTCAACTAACAAAACTGTACTAAATGTATTTCGATCATCGACGTAAAGTGCTGCTAAATGATGAAGAGCATTAGGTAAGGGAAGGAACTTAGTTCTAAGCAGATGTTACTCATTGAATCAGTTCACATATTGTGTTTATATGCTAATGAATTGATGGCCGAGCTCTTGTTAACCGTTAATGTCGACAAAACAGATGCATCACAAAAGTGTTCCTCAACTACACTTCTTTCTGATTTAACAATGTCTCAACAAATCAATCAATCAAACATAAAAAATGATGTAATTATTGTTTTTTTCTGAACACGCTCATTCCTCCTTGCTGGAATTGCACGATTAATCAAGAGGAGAGCGACTCGTTTGCGTTCCAGTGAAATGTGAACATACGGCCGTTGGCCAATTTGTCCAGCGAGGAGGGAGGGAGGCGCCGTTGAGACGGGCCCGGGCGGCTTGGGAGAAGACAACCAACGAAACTACGAAAGGAAGCGTCTTTTTCACCAACTCAATGACGCAGTGAAAGTCACGTATCGAACACAGCCATTTGAGCACAAACCGTGACCCTTAAATCGAACTACGTTACGTAGAACGGCAGAGTTTGTCCACCGAAAAACGGCCAGAAAGTAAAGACAGGCAATGGGGTGAGATTACTGGGTGGGGTGGGGGGGGGGTGTTGGTGTTTGCTTGTTATTCCAGCTCTAATTCTCCCACGGAGCTCATTACAGTCTGGAGAGAACGAACCCAAAAACCTTAAAAACAGTGACGGGGAGGAGGAGGAGGAGGAGGAGGAGGAGGAGGCGGAGGAGCAGGGGGGGGACCAAGAAAAAACAAAAACCCATTAACGGTAAAAGGAGGCTTGAGACAGCGAGGTGAGCTGGAGGGACGGAGACGGACCCCAGATCGATTGGACTGAGAAAGAAGGACGTGGTGGAGTAAAGATCCGCCGAGTCGAAGGAGGAAGGAGGAGACCACCGCCCCCCCCACCACCACCACCACCCTAATCACACACACACACACACAACACACCGGGGGCTGTGTGTGCTTCAGTAAGCCAGCTTTGACAAAATAAACTGCCGGGCCAGGAGGAAAGTTGGTTTAAGAAAAATAAAAATACCATTTAGATTTTATTGATTCCATCAGAGCAAATAAATTAAAAATAAAAACAGTAGATCAATTGATATGATTGATGAATAATAATAATAATAATACAATAGGGCTCAGGCTCTAATCCACAATAAATAAAATTCCTTTTAGCTGTATGTTTTTTTTGTATAATAGTCATTTTTAGCCATAACTTGGTTTGATCCAAAACAAAAAACAAGAAGCGTCTTTTTTATCAGAAGAGCAGAACGGCAGCCTCGGATTTCCACACACAGTCACTAATAAGTTTCTCAAAGAACATGTTTTCTTTTACATAACATTTAAGTACGGAAATACAGATATTATAGTCATCAACCAGATTCAGTTTTCAATATTAGTATTATCATTATTATTATCATAATACCAGAGGAATAGAAATGTGGACTTAGATTTCAATATATTTATATATCCATTTGTATATATATATTGTGTAAATGTGTACATATATATATATGTGTGTGTGTGTGTGTGTGTGTTTGTGTGTAGAGTTTGTGGTGTTGGTTTCAGAGTCCAAAGTCCAACTTTGAGGAAAAGCAAGGAAGGATCCGTGCTGGGAGGCGAACGATTACAGCAGCAGATAGTATCGACATGAGAAAGGAGGGGAGGATTGGCCGTAGGGGCGGTAGGGGTGAGGGTGGGGTGAGGGGGGGTGAGGAGGGGTGATAACGGAGGCATACCAAAAAGGAAGAGGGAGAAATCTGCACTTGTGGGTCAACAGCATAGTCAAAGAGAGAAGGTCCCGGATGTGAAAAGGAAAAAAAAGCAGGCGTGATGACCGGATAGAGACACAGCGAGGACGGGAGGGGGGGAGGGGGGGGGGGGTCGCGCGGGGGTCCGACCCGGAGACGAAAGTTGATCCCAATGTTTGTGTGGCGACCAGACAGCAGACAGATGATAAAATAACAGGGGAAGAAGGAGGGTGTAGTAATACCCGGTGGCTCGTACCAACACCAATCTGAGGGTTATTGGATAGAGTTACAAGAGAGACTTCAATATCTACATTTAACAGTTTGCAGGATATTTTGTAACCTTTAAAAAAGTCCCATTTTTTTATGTGGTAGCAGTCAGTCTACGTTGGACGGAACAGTTGTATTTATTATAACAACTGCAAAACAGAGCTTTACGGGGAAGGTTCATGAAGCACATGCTTTTATGATCAAAACGTTTGTTTTCCTACTGAAAAAAAAAAAAAAAGGTCTGCTTGGATCTGGGCTGAAGGCTGATGTAAAATCCGTGGAATTAATGCGCAGTAAAAGACGACAAACATGGTAGATGTGATTCGGAGAGGCAGCGCTTCTAGAGACATTCATCAGAGCCTTAAGCCGACACAGATGCAGCGATGTGGGATCGCCCTTTCAGTCAGAGAAATGAAAAAAGCTTTTGGCTGTCCAAAGCTGCCAGTCAAGCCACAGAGAAACACCGGGGGGGGGGGGGGGGGGACCGTGAGACGTGGGGGGGACGGAGGACGAATGACAGGACGGATGAAAGGAGGGAGTGAAGGGAAGGAGCAATGTGCCGGCTTCCATCCCTCTCGCATCTCAGAGTCTGTTGTCACCTTCCATCTTGGTTTTTCCTTCTTCTTCTTCTTCTCCTCCAACGTCTCACTCACATCCTTTCCTCTCCCCATCCACCTTTAAGCCCCTCCCTCCCCCACCAACAACACTCGCTCGACCCGCCCCCCCCCCCCCCCCCCCCTCTCTACACGGGGAACACCAGAAAGCCGGAGAAGGTGGAGAACTTCCATCCCCCCATGAGGTTCCCTCTCTCCAGCTTGAGGTAGGCCCGGTCTCCCTTCTCCATCTGGATCAGAACCCCGTTGCTGGCCGCCTCGCGCGTCACGTCCTGGTCGCCGGCGAACGCCGAAATCACCGGCCAGCCGTTGTGCATCAGGCTCACCTGGACGGGGAGGAAGAGGACAGGCAGTTCACGGGGTGAGAGGACATCTTTGCAGCTGCACGCAAGCGTCCCGCAGCCGGGAACAACATCTGGAGCCGCCATCATCGTTTGCTTTTGTTCTATTTGTTTTCTTTTTTGCACGCCGAAGAAGATTTAACGACTTAAGGGGAGACGTTCACACACTGTCGCGGACTCAAGGAATAACGTCTCCTTACAGAGAGAAGTGTCTGTCAGCCCCCCCCCTCCCCTCCCCCCTCCAAGCGGCTTTCATCGCTCCTCTGCTCCGAGCAACAGCGGCGATGCTTGTTTCCTCCGCATGCTTCACAGAGGAACTCTTTTACCGACGCGGCACCAAAAACAAACCGAAGTGTCTGTTTAAGCTTGATCCCACTTTATGAAACCTGTGAGAAAATCCTCGCCTTCCCCGAGAGCAAACTTGCCGTAGCTTGACGGGGGAAAAAAAAAAAGATTTAGATTTAGGTTGCAGCTCCTGACGGGCGAAGGAGAAATCGCTAATCTGACAAGTGTATCAGATGAAGTACACAATGAGGCGGCGCAAATGTTCCTGTTCCCCGAATCCCATCAGGCTGATTGTTCGCACTAAGAGGAAGGAAGAATTTGAAATTATTTAAATTGTTTAGTTATTATTTACATTATTATTTACTGTTAAAATACGGAGACCAGAAGTAGCCTCTTGCATGGCTTCTCTGCTCCACCCCCCATGGCGCTGCAGGTCAAAGGTTCAATTCTGTGTGCAGAAAAAAAAAGCAGACTCTCTAGTCGGCAAACCACTTTTGTGTTTTGGCAAAGTTGGTATTTCCGCCCACTGCGAAACGTACGCGAGCCACACGACTAGGTACACGTACACGTACACGGTACGGCCGAAAATCCACACCATGGTACTAAGAAAGACTGTGACGGCACGCTGGTGTGTGACCGTATTGCTTTTTCGAGAAGATACATGAACCTCACTGACCCCGAAGAGGACGGCGGGCCACCCGGAACGGCTGTCCGCGTGTCTGAGTTAGCTCGTTAGCTCGTTAGTTCATCAGCTAGCTAGCTCGCCGTGGCTGCTGGTGTTGCCACCAGAGGCTCCACAGACTCTGCAATGAATCTGATCGAATCTATTTTCTGATCTAATGTAACTTAACACATCTCCTCTCCTGGGCCCACGTTGCGTCTCGTTGCATCTCTGGCCTCTCGTTGTTCCTCCTGTGTCGCTCTTTTCCGTGTTTTCATGTAGCAACAGAGTCACTTCTCGTTGTGAGCTGTACCCAGCATGCAGTTCGGCGATTGTTAGTGTCACAAGCGGTTGTGTCGTGGTGTTTTACCCTGTTAGAGAGTGTTTGTTTGTGGCCTACTCGTCGTTGTTGTTATGCAGTTAGAACCATGACTCAATCAACCGCTCGGCGCTCCTCAATTGCGTAAAAAATCATTCCTGCCGTCTTCCAACGAGCAACGTCAGCTGTTATGGCGTAGCGCCGGTACGGCAACCTTATACCGTTCGAACCGGCGTGCCGTGCAGCCCTACACGAGACACAATGTCCACAAACATCTATAAGTGACACGAGGGGGCGGAGTCAAGTACAGCCAATCGCCGAGATTTAACGTGACACAATCACACGCCGCTAAATAGTAAATGTTCAATCAATTGATTGAATGAACATAATCATCATCATCATTACAATATTTCCACAGAATGCGTTTTTTTTTCAGGTTCCGTCGTTCCACAGATGTAAATTCACGTCTGAACTTCAGATGCGTGGATACACTTTTCTGTAGCTACTCGAATTAAGTCAATTTAAAGCTGTCGCTGAGAGATAGAACACGGCCACAAACATCCCATAATTATGCACTTATCCACCTCATTCTACCCGATGGTCAGAAGAGAGGGATGGTGTGTGTGTGTGTGTGTGTGTGTGTGTGTGTGTGTGTGCAGGATATGGAGAGCCTGTCAGAGTCAAGAGCTCTCTTGGCCCAACACTCCTCTTAACAGCAAACTCAGCTTGAATGTGTGTGCGTGTGTGTGTGTGTGTGAGTTCTGAAAAGGCCGTCTGTGATTCCGATGAAAAACACTCACACCGTACTTAAGCCACGTCTTTTAATTACCATGACAACAAACGGAGCCCATTATGTGGCGAAATAAACGTGTCTAGCTGAGGAACAGATGTTGCGTCGTCCGCGTGCAGCGACGGTGTGAAACCAACGTGAGGCCGAGGGAGGGAGGGAGGGAGGGAGGGAGGCCGCCGCTTTGCGTCCTGCGGGGAAAACAACTCTCCTCCTTCGGGCATCTTTACTCCACTCACGCTTTTCACTTTGACAGGCTCTCACGCCCCTTCGCTCTGACCCACACGCGTGCACCAACATGGGCCTCTGTGCAGACGATGTATGAAGTACGATGGAGACCCAGGGTGGGTTTGTGACACCATCTCAGTCATTCACACGCGTCTTTCCTTCTGCAACAAAGCAACGTCCGCCTATTTCTTGCCACTGATCAAGCAGGACGTAAAGCAGGCCGCTCTAAAAATATCAGCGCTTCCGCCCCCACGCAGAACGTCAAGAAGGGCACGTTTCTAAAACATCGCCGACACACGATAAAGAGAACGCTGTTATAGGAAGGTGAAACCACTGCTTCAAGTTGGCCTCATTAAACTATAGATTGTTACATCAGATAGATGCAAAAGGATTTGAGGAGAGGGAAGAGATATCGATAGATAGAGAGATAACATACATGATGCTCTGATACCGTGAGGCTTCATTTTTGAGTTGCTCACATAAGCAACATAAGCAACACCTGGAATCTGTGCCATCTGTCAGTCAGAACAAAGGCCTTTTGTATTACTCCATACCAACTGTGTACATGTCATATTCTTGTGTCTGCGTTTGCTGCCAATCTGTCCGCTTCTATTCGTTTTTAAAAGAACAACACACAGAATGATATTATTGTCGGCATGTTAAATTGATGGGAGCATTTACAGGGAAGCAGTTGTTCTGTCTCACACACACACACACACAGGGTCAGTGTGTGCCGGTGATGTATAGCTCTAATAAAGCTGTGACAGGGGCTATGGAAGGAGAAGACTGTGGTCACCACACACTCACAAAGAGCTGTCTGTCTTTCTCACACACACACACAGTCAGCTACACTCTCACAATTGCCCACCATAAATATGAAAGCATGATAATAGGTCTGCACACGGCGTCGGGCCTCCATCGATCTGCATTCATTAATGCATGAGCACCAATTAACTGGCTGAGTAACAGGGTGAGAGAACGGGGAGGAAACGACGGGCGGGAAGCGGAGGTCAGACGGTTGAAAGAAATATCTCCACATGCAAATGAAAAAAGAAAACGTCTCGGGTTTTGCACTTAATGCCAACGACATGATTAGATCCCCTGATTGCGGCATCGGTCACATACGCGACATCAACGCGACTCCATTTGGACGGAGGTTGAGGGGATGTAAGGCGACGTCGGTTGAAATGAAATCACAACACAATCAGTTGCCTGCTGCCGACTTTCCGTATGTGGAAACTCATCGTTTCCTCGCGCTTTGCATTCTGGGAGAGGAAGAATTCTCCGTTGGCCAGAATGCTTTTATCTTTTCAGGTGTCAGCTAAAAAAAAAATACAGATGTTCCCGGCCAGCTGTGTTTCACCAATGCGGCTGAAGACGAAGGGGGGGGGGGGGGGGGCAGAGGGACGCAGCAGCCGAGACCTACAATCTGCGTTTGAAATGATGAATTATGCGCGTTTTCAGAGTTGGATACAGACATTGGTGGGAGAGTAAAAGAAGCCGGAAACACATCCTGGAACACATTCTCTTAAAATACCTAAAGGATGTCAGCACACGGCTTTTACAGTCCACAAAGTGTGGTTTCCTTTGACTTTTCGCACAATAAAATTATTCAGCCGAGCCTTTTCCAGAGTTACAAGGATGTAACTCTAAAGTATTTTTATAAATGTTTATATAATAGGTCTCCAGAGAAGTGATTAAGACAAACATTGCTTGAAGCCAAAAAGCTTTTTAGGACCATGTCTGTTGTAACAATCAAATAATGTGTGTTTGTCCCTCAGACCTCATTTTTTTCGCACATGAGCAACAAACCAGAACAGCTTTTCCGTATTGTTCTGCCAAACTGAAGAACACTGAGAACAGGTTGATTCTGATGGAAATGGAAGGCGGGCATCTGTCTTGCTGCTTTGTATATTACTGTAAACGTGTGTGTGTGTGTGTGTGTGTGCAGGCAATTACATACATTTTAAAAACAGAAGATCAGACGCTTCATCTATTGGAGAAGTGAACCTGGCAAAGAGGCTGCAGTTTCACTGTGTGACTGACTCCGACTCCTCGCATTCCACAAGCAAATCAGGCAGATTGCCTGATTTGCATTCACGGCGGCAGGTGACCGCGGTATTTAAACCCGAATAAATCCATTAAAACGTCTCATTAGACAGAAGCTTGTGGAGATGCAGATTCCTTTTTTTAAGTCTTACCTTTTGGAATCTTTTTCTAAAAGTGCAACCGAAACTCTTCCTTCTTCCTTTCCGCTGTTGGCTGAACGTCGATGAATCACTGACCGAACGAACCCACGTAAATGATACTGATATAAACCGGCCTGCGCAGGTCGAATGGTTACATCCAGATTATGGTGGGTTCATTTCTTTAGTGCTATTTTTTGTTCACATGCAACGCTTGAAAAAGACAATCGTCACCGAATCCCCGAGGGTCGTGAACGCCGCGGGAAAAGTTCCCTGGAACGCCAGGCGTGAGGCCTCGCACCTCCCAAAATACACACTGCCGCTCTGCCTGGCTGCACGCCGCCGACTGCACCGCCCCCCCCCCCCCGGCTCACCTCGTCCGCCAAGCAGCCACATACAGGTGTGTAGCGTTTAAACGCCCATGTGAGGTTTTGCGGACTGAAAGACTCGGATCGGTCAGCGGCGCGCTGGACGTGGACCCTTGATAGGATCTAACAGTCATGCCACAACCTTCGATGTGTATCTCCGATTGGCAGTTCAACAGAGACGTCCTTGGACAGTCCCTTCAGTCATTGATCCTTGGCTATAGTTGTAATTTCAATATTCAATAACCCATTATAGTCAAACACAGAGTTTAGTATTTGTGGAACTATATATCAACCCACAAATACAGTTATTGCTCTTTGGTTCATCTGTCCACATATGTACCTTTGACACAGTCATGTAAGAAACTGTGATACTTTAGTGTTCCGATGGCAGTACGTGTTTTTCCTGTGTTGCCACTTAAAGGCCGTTTCGGCGTTTAGCGGTCTGTCGGCTCTACTGGAAAGCTGCATGGGGATTTAGACGCTATTTTAAAAAACTGTTTGATGATATTCAAGGACGTCAGTAAGTAAGTTTCATCTCAGTGGTCCCATACGTGCATCAATCTTTAAAAGGTTTTCGAGAAACAGAATTGGTGCTCTGACGGCGCACTTTTGTGACAGGACCAAAAACATGGAAATCAGAGAGCGGCCTCATTGTAGAATAGAATGTAGAAGACATATAATGACTCAGGAAGGCCTAGAAATTCATTTATGTATTTCTAGGCCGTTTGTATGCTGAAAATATATATACAAAACACAAATATTTGGATTAAATTAAGTATTTTAGTCGCTCTGAATGCTGCAGACCGTTGCAATAATGTGTCTCTCCTTTTCTAAAGACTACATTATGCAGTTCAATGAAATGTTGACAATTACGCCCAGGCACACATTTGATTACAGCATGATATAATTGTAGGAAATCCAAATCTCCACCTTCCCTCAGCGTGCACTGAAAACGAACAGGATGAAGAGTGAACGCCGTGGCATTTAACAGCTGAGCGCGTTGGCTGGATCTCTGGAGTGAAACACCACAGCATCGACCTCGGCGACCCCAAGTCGCAGGATAAAAATGCGAGTGTTGGAAACCAAAGCACAAACACGGGCCGGGTTGCCGGCGGGGAGGATTACGCTTCGTGGCGCGCGGATGCTGGCGGCTGTGGGTCAAAATGCAAAACGAGCCGTTCGATTGAATTCCAATGAACTGCCGTCTTCAGAAAACAGTGATGAGATAAACCTCTGACTACCCAGACAACACTCAGTTGCTGGTATTCATGTCCCACCGGCGCCGCGTCTGTTTGTCCTTGTGATGTGTTGGCGCTCCGCACCAAGCAGCAGGTAAAAGATGCTCACCGAGGGACAGAGCATCCGTTTGTTTCAATTGGATTTTTACATTTACAGCAGTGAATGTAGGAAATGTCAATAGCTGCCCAGGGATGAAACCCTTTGGCGCCGTGTGTGTATTGCGGGCAAAGTTTTCCATCAGACGGGTGGCGTTACGGGTAGCGTGATTTGTATTTAATTGGCAAAAAGCAAAGAGGGACAGGGTTTGTAGCCGTTTCGCTGACACCCACGTCTCCTCGCTCACCCCTCGCAGGTGGATGGATGGACAGATCTCCGCACACGAAAGGTGAGATGGAAACTGTTCCTCCTTCCCTTTGCACATCCCCAGCATCCCTGATCAATAGTTACTCATGGCCTCTCTCTCTCTCTTTGCCGTGCCTGAACCTGCCCTTTCTCTCTCCCTTCTGTCCGTCCTTTGTTCTTAACCACCGTGTCCCTCTTTTCCCTCCCTTCTCGTCCCCTTTCAATCGCACCAATCCGCCTTCCACTTTTTTCACCATTCTCCGTGTCTATTCACTCTCTTTCATTACCTTACCTCCATCTAAACTTCCTTCCCCTCTGGCCCTCGTCACTTACTTTTTGTTTTTTTTTCCCTGTTTACTCTCATCCGTTCCATCGCCTTCATCGCCGGCGCTCTCTTCCCCTGCCGTCTCTCTCATGCCTCGCACGCACCAGCAGCAGCAGCAGCAGCTGCCTCGAAGGCAATCAAACAGTGGGAGTTCTCAACACAACACACGCGCTGGATGGATCGGAGGATGAGTGGAGGAGGTCAAAGGTGAGCCGCGCGCAGGCTGGATGCTTGGGAGGGAGGGAGGAGGAAAAAAACCTACACCTTTTTCATGTCAGAAACGGGACTGACAACTATGCCATGGCGGAAGGCGGCCGCGGGTTTCTCAGTCAGTTTTGAAGTGTTAAGTTTCTAGAATTGCTTCGGGTTTTAGACGATTCACACTTGTAGCGTAGCCTCAAAAGGCTGCTCGTAAAAGTCGGCACGACAGCGAGATCATTTAAAAAGGCGGCATTTCTGTTTTCCTTTTTAATCCCGCTTTCACTGCTAACGACATCCCATGAATGTACATTTGCAACCCAGCGGATGGAACCAAAGGCTTTGTCATTTGGGAGGCAGCGGTACGCCGATAAGTGTGCAGTCCGGTTGCCGTGTTTTCACCTTGTAACACAACATATAACCAGATGTTAACATTAGCTTTTTAAAATCAGAAGAAAATTGGTCCGAAATTAAGACTCAGCAGTTAATATAGTGAATAAACATCAAGAATTGGTGGCGGACGGGTTGGGGGCCATGGTCACATCGGATCCGGCCTTTGGCACCGGTGTCGGCCTGACGTCCAAATTGCTGCGTCTGTAAACATCATCACTGTGTTTCCCGCGTGACGGACGTAGTTTCCACGGTGCCGTGAGTCGAGTGTTGGCGGCAGTATGGTGCCGAGCTTCACGCCCCCCCCCCCCCCATCCGCCCCCCCCTGCCCCTCTCATATGCCCCCCCCCCGCCCTCCACCCGCCCTCCTTGTTGTTATTGTGGTTACTGCTGCTGCCGTACTAATTAAATCCAGAGTGCCATAATAAATATATAAGTAGCAAAACATAATGCCAAAGCCCCGGGGAGCCCGGAGCCTAATTGCGCAACTGATGAATTAGCGAGAGATACATCGTGATCAACGTTGTTTGACTTGTAAAGCGGCATCGCCGTGCATGTTCATTTGGGGAAATGGGCTCGAGACTTTGCAAGCGCTTCACCGCTGGCATCAAAAGAGGCGCGGAGACGCCATCTGAGGCGTCTGAGGCGGAGCGAATGTGAGCTGTTAGCGGGATGAAAGGAGGCCGGCGATCCTGTGTGTGCGAGACAGAAGAAGCATGTATGTGTAATTATTAACCCCCCCCGTGAGAGCGTTTTGTGTAAGAGCGAGATAATTAAAAGGGCTGTTTGTGCCCCCCCCCTCCCCCAGTTCAAAAAGTGCGTAATGTTTTAATCCTCTAAATAATCAAAAGATATTCGGCGGCCGGCTGCCTCTGTTTTTAGCGAGAGGAGAATGATGGGAGGAGAAGACGTCGCTGTCCACGGTGCTGAAAGCAGCTTCTCCCCTCCGCTCTCTCTGCGCGTATTGATTAATTATGGTTCGGCCGGCGGGCTGCTGTTGTCTCGCAGGGAAAGACATCTTGAAGCATCGACAAAATGACTTCCTCTGCACCTGATATTCAACTAAAAAAAATGTAAATGATAAAAACAGCAGCACACACACACACACACACACACACACACCGCGAAGACGCATAGACATGAAGTGAGAAACGGACAAACTGCGCGCTACCTGGATGGTTTGGCGGTTGTAGACTTTCACTACGTGGAAGTTGAAACTGTAAATCCCTTTGCGCGGCGCGATGAAATTACTTCTCTCCTCGTCAAAGTTCTTGCCAACGTTCACGAGGACCTGAAAAGGAGACAGAGATGGACATTATCGCGTTGATAACGTTGCTTCATCCGGCTCGGGTCTTTTATTGGCACAACAGCCGTGTTTCCATGTTCTCAGGACATTTGACTTATATTTATATATTTTATATACAACCTTCTAATTTACAAGGAGAGAATCGGCGGCGCTATTTCTTACGTGAATCATTTCTAGGGGAGCCTCGCTCATTTATTTTTTTTGTTAGACGGCTGTAAACCACATGTTGAGATTCGCTGATGTGGTGGAAAAACTCTCTGCTTTCATCAGAACTTTCAAACTTTATCGGAGAGGGAAAAGAACTCAAATCAATCTTTTGAATTGACTTTTCAATTATGCATTTCTGCAACCAAATGGCTGGTTTTATGGACGTGGGGGCGAACTATGGCGCGTAATTGAGCGGCAGTTTGAGAGAGAATTAACCTTTAACGTGCGGATAGGACTTGGCCCTCGCGACCTGCCGTTACTAAATTATTTGGCGGGATGTCAGTTCCCGTAGTCCATATTATCGGCTCAGAAGACGTGTGATATTCGACAGGAGTTGCCTCAGAGGCTACACTTCTCCAAGCACTTGAAAAGACTCCGAGACGGAGTTTGACTCCACTTTCAGTCAGAGCTCCAGCTGCGCTCCACGAGGCCAGATGTGCCAGATTGAACCACCGTATCCGCCCAGGATTCCTGTCATTTATAAATATTTGAATGTTTTACGCTAAGTAACACCCTCATAGCTTCTTTTTTTTTTTCTTCTTCTTCAAAAGATCCGTAAAGAGATCAGATGACAATCGTCTCGCGGACGTCGTCGCGTTCTTACTGGTTACGTCTCTGATGTTTCTGCAAACTATGCGACACGCTGCTCCTCCTCCACGCAAATGATGTTAGTGAAGTCTTTCACAGCTATTTGACACGCGGCCCACCGGACAAGACGCGCGCCACGCGTGGAACGCACGCGCGCACATCTGGAGCTCAATCTGCTCGATCACCAAACTAGTATAAAGTATAAACTTATTTTGCCAAATACAGTTTTCTTCATATTCTCATTTAATATATAAATGATCAGTTGAAAGTTTGGACACACTCTTTCCCATTGAACCGTAAGAGAAAACATCGTTCTCCTACCCGGTCGAAGTAGATGACCATGGTGCGGTTGCTCATCTCGGAGGGTTCGTGGTTGGTGTTCCGGACCGCGGAGAACGCCACCTTGGCGCTGCCGGAGCGCACGGAGATCCCGAGCGCGGTGCCCGTGGGGTCCGCGGCCGGGTTGGAGTCGCACACCACCAGGCACTTGCCCTCCAGGACGATGGGCTCCGTCTCGTTCTGCGCGCGGGCCGGGCTCCCCGCGAGCCACGCGGCGCTCAGCAGGCACAGCGCCAACATACCGGGACCGCGACCAGCCGCTTCTCCGGCCGTCTTCGCGCAACTTCACGCCGCGGGTCTATTCCGCTCGAAAACGAAAGAAGAAGAAGAAGAAGAAGAAGAAAAAAAAAAGAAAAGTAAGGCGGGAAGAGTTTCCCGGGTGTTCCCCACACGGACCTTTAGGAGTCTTGTCTTATTTCTAGTAGCCACTCCGTTTGTTAGTATTTAATCAGCCCGCCGCAAACACTTTCTCCCCCGCGGAGTCTCTTGGACGGAAAACCGGACGCTTTATTTCTCTCCGTTTTAAAAAAATTTAAAAAAGAAAAAAAAAAGCAGTTGATTGCCTCCGTACCTCCGGTCGGGTCGTCGGTTTTCACCTGCTCCTCTCCTCGCTTTTGTTTCCCGCCCTCTTCCCTGTCACTTGGAGCAGTAAGCGGGAGTCGGGCCCTGGACGAGTGACGGGGCAACGGCACACATAGCGCGCGAGGTGGGAGGTGGTGGTGGTGGTGGTGGTGGGGGGCGGGAGGCTCCGTCTGCTCGCTCTCGCGCGCGCTTGAATTATTGATATGTGAGATATGAGAGTTTCACACACGGTGCTTGG